CAAAATGTTTAGCCTCTAAAGACTGATAAAGGCTCTGACCAAATATTGATGAAATGGATTGAATTGGATTATTAAGTTACGTCAAAGCAGGGCTATCTGCCTAAAAGGAAGGATGCCTTTGTGAAGAACTTTTCAAAGGAAAACCAGCTGGCATACACGGTTACACATGAGAAAATCCCACGAAAACGCCATGCAAACCAGCCCGTTTACCGGGATTCGAACCCCGGAGTGAACTACCAGTGTTCAGCGACTTTACCGCTCGGCCGTTTGTGGGCCTTTATGAAATGGAAGGCGATAACTTTATTTAAAATGATTGTCAGAATATCAAGATGTTTCGAAAAGTTGGATGCTTTTTAATATACTTGCGGAATGCCTAAAGAAAAAGAGCAAGAATAAAGTAGAATGCCTGAAGAAAAAGAGAAGAAAAAATAAATTTTTGGGTAAAATTTAGTATTTGTATTTTTTTTTTAATTTAAAACTTTTTAATCTTATGATATTTGATTCTTACGATTTCAAAAATAAAATATTTGACTAAAATATGAATAACATTTAAGAAACCAAATGTAGGATAAAATTGTGTAAAGCAATGGGCACAATGATAAAAACTGTTTAAAGCAGTGTATGCAAGTCATCCTAAGTTAAAATGTCGGTTATACATCTCTCTTATTTATATATATCTTTTCTGAACGGAACATTGAAAGGCGTGTTAACTATGCTTTACTGTATTTGCTCTTTTAATATATGCAGTTTTCAAACGCATCGTAATCTGGGTTACAAAGTATTCCTCCGAAAGAAACGCAATTCAAATAAATAAAATCAAATTCTGGAAAATTTATTTAAAATGCTCAGTTCGAAGGAATAAATAGAAAATTTTAAAACAATTATCTGAAGAGACAATGCAACACAAACAATTAAATAAAAGTATAAGAATTTAAAAATTACCTAAAATAATAACTATGACAAAAATATATATAAAGAAAACTATTTGAAAAAAAAAAAACGCTGCACCTTTATTTACGCAGTTCGAATAGGTAAATAGAAATTTTTAAAACAGTTATTCGAAAAAAAACCATGCAACTTAAACAATTAAAATGAAATTCGAAAAAAAAAAAAAAAAAAAAAAAATTACTTAAAATAATAAGTTATAATTAAAAATACAATATAAAGAATATTATTTGGAAAAAAGGAACGATGGTGACTTTTTTTCCTCTCACGGAAAAGGAAACTAGGTTGCCATATATTAAGAAGTTCGCCAAGTGAACTATTTTTGGCGCAAACTGACTAAACAGTGCCAACATAAATTTGTGAATTTCTCCGTAAATTTTGCTCCAAATTTTACAAAATTTCATATTTAGGCGTAATTTGAGTCGTAGAATCGAAATATGTAAAAATGTTGGTATGTTATTTCAGAAAAAGTCCGATTTTGTGTCAAAATACCTATGTTAGAATAGTGCAATATATAAATCTAATATATATCCTAAGTCGCGCTTTCGAGACATGAAGAACGCAGTTTGAATTTTGTCAATCGGCCCAGTACGAGAGATATAGGACTGTTCCATTTTTTTTTTTTTTTTTTTTTTTTTTTTTTTTTTGAGCAGTGTACATCAACTAGATGTTAAAACAGTACGGCAACTTAATGAAGAAGAAAGATAAAGTTTGTAAATTACAGAGTCGATTATGGTCTCAAACAAGCAGCTAGGTGCTGGAATGCAGAAATTGAAAATATACTGAAGAATCTGGGGTTCAGTCAAAGCAAAGCAGATCCGTGTCTTTTCACAAAAGTGGTTCGTAATAAAAGAATTAATTTAATAGTGTATGTTGATGACATCCTAATAAGTTCTACAGAAGAAGGACTAATTCTTCAAACAATTAATGATTTAAAGAAACGTTACCAAATAACGCATCTTGGTGAAGCTAAATATTTCTTAGGCATGGAAATAAATCGCAAGGAAGATGGAAGTTATCTCTTATCACAGAAAAATAAAATAAATCAACTTGTCAAGCAATTTCAACTTGAAGAAGCGAAACACGCTAGCACACCAATGGAAACGAACTATTATAACCTAAACAAGGAAGAAAATCTCCTAACTTCAAATGATAAATTTTCGCCAAGCTATTGGAAGTCTTTTATATATCGTCTATCACAAGACCAGATATCACAGCTTCAACTCACATACTCAGCAGAAGGTGTAATAAATCCACGTCAAAAGGACTGGAATGCTGTTAAAAGAATCATTAGATACTAAAAAAACGACAAAGAACCTATCCTTACAAATTTCGTCGAGTGAAGAACCTAATATTACAGTTTATTCAGATGCTGATTGGGGACAAAGATATTGAAGATAGAAAATCTACATCAGGAAGTGTTATTTTATTAGGAAGGAACTGTATTTCATGGTTTTCAAGAAAACAAACCGTGTGTTCTTTATCCTCAGCAGAAGCTGAATATGTTGCACTATCGCAAGCTACGCAAGAACTATTATGGCTATTAAAATTAACAGAAGATTTCAATCTACCACAAACTCTACCGATAAAGGTATTTGAAGATAATCAGTCTACTATAAGACTTGTAGAATCTGAAAAATTCAGTTCACGCACAAAACATATTGATACAAAAGTTCATCATATACGCGACTTGAATAACAAAGGAATAGTAAAACTTGCTTATCTTTCAACAGAGGAAATGGTTGCTGATATTATGACTAAACCAATTCCTAAAGCTAAATTTCAGTTTTGCAGGAATGAATTACAGTATGCAGTATAGTATTTGATTTTCACCCTAGGTACTTGTACCTGGCCAAAGGTCTAATGCAGTAGTACTTTCTTCTCTTTCAGGTACGATGGCAAAGTATGTTCCTGTTTATTTTTCTTATTGCCTAATATAGGTAAGCCTGATGATATTTAGTACTGATGAGGATTCTATGTAAGTTATTCTTTTGAATGCTTCAATTTTAATGTCCTTGAGCATTATTACTTTTTGTTATGCTTAAGTTAAGCAGAATTATCCTATTTTATTAAAGATTTCGTAGTTAAAATTTTTGACTTATGATTCTTTAATTCTGTGCTTGAGGAAACGTACTCATTACGCCTTCAGTGCTAATGCATAACCAACACCCGGGCCCCCACATCACAGAAGAGCTCCCAAATCGAATAGAACGTTTATTATTATAAACATTTAAATATCTTCAAAAAGTTCGCTTGTTCATTACTGAAGTAATGAAGCAGAGGGGGACCCCCAAAAAGTTTTTGCTTCGGGCCCCAGTTAGGCTAAGTCGTGCCCTGAGTATATTGCAGTACAAGTGAAAACATTGACAGTTTCACTCCCACATAGGGTCCATAACATTTTTGTAAATATTATGGGGTCCTAGGGATCGCGAAAAAATCTCAGTGATAAAAAGGGGTGGCGAATGAAAAACGTTTAAAAAACCCTGCTTTAGATAACACTTGTGTGCTTTATCATATTCAAATAACTTAACCTATCCACGTATAGGAATGAAAGAATTGTTCATAAGATGGTACGTGAACTAAGGTAAGTTTTTTCTAAAAACGAGGAAATGTGTAAATGCAGTATAGGCTGATACGAACTCGGGGGGGGGGGGATCTGAAATGTTTCAGATTTTAAATTACGTCCAAACGTTTTTAACAATTTGTGTGTTACTTTTATTTATTAAATATCATGTTTTCGCACTTAAAGCATAAAATTCAGTTTATGAGCAATGTCGCAAAGTAATTTTTAAATATCTTTAGTATTTCTGAAACACAATCTCGTGCCCTGGAGATATTTTTTTTTTTTTTTTTTTTTTTTCTGTACATCGTTGCCATTGCTCGCTTTGAAATCCTTGAGTTTGTTAATCAGATATTTGTTAAAGTTTTACAAAATATGAAATCGATAATAAAACAAATTCCAAATTCCAAGTTTGGGCTTCCACATGCCCATATTCTATGGAAGATTACGTTATTCAAATTTTGATGGCTCTAGGTACCGTTGTTTTATCACAATGCGAGAAACGTGCATACATTTATGCAGATTCTTCATTATTTAATTTCTTTAAATATAAGACAGAGCGATAATATATGGTAGTAAAAATTTGAAAAGTGATACAACCTTTTAAAGTTTTCAATGAAAAATGCCAAAACGAAATTAATATTCCTTCAAGGCAAATTTCTCCTTTGGACTAATAAAATAAGTAGGACACGGAAATGTTCCGTAAGTATAATATATCTAGAAAGTCTTGTTTGGAAAGTTGGTCAAGTCAGAATTTTTGGGTTCAGTTTATGCGAATCAGTATTTTATCCTAGTTAGTATGAATAATTTCCGGGTCTAAAAAATTGCATTATATAAAGTGGCTTTAAAATTTCAATAGCAAATGGAAAATGTAAGCTAAAATATTTAAATTAACTATAGAATGAACTATAAATATTTATTATTCAAGTAATAAAATTATTATTAATAATAACAAAGAGAAAATGATATAAAATAATAATTGTTTAAATACAGAGCACAATTTCTGTCGATGTTACAGCAAAATGTTGTTGCTTACTTTTTATCTGCTATATGAAATATAATGAACTAATATAAAAATTTCCATGCGTGCAAACTGCCTATAACCTTATATGAACATTTTCATGCGATATTTTGCATATAAGTTTTGGAATTTTTTAATTGAATGTGAGGTATTTTGAATGGTAATATTTTTCAGGAAATTCAACATTTTCCTTCGCTGGTAAGTTGTCGGTCTAAACCGGTTTACATTACTTGAGTCAATCATGCGCATTTAACCTCATAATTGATAGACCGAGAGGTAAGCGGCATCGAAAATGCCTTCATCAATCTTGAGTATTTGTGGAGAACTGTCAACGGTTACGCCTCCTCGGCTCGTGACGTCAAATTCTGGTCCCGCCCTCACTTCCACTTCAATGACACGAGGCCAATGACAGGAAAAAGGCCGATCGTATTTTGTCCAATCAAGCGACGGTGCCAAAATAATTGTAACTATGTGAGAGGAAGTCCTGAAGTGGTGGATTTGCCGAAATGAATGGAGACGTCAAATTATTCTTGACATGATGCTACCTCTGGAAAAGTCATGTGGATTCGATTCAATTCACATGAATTCGCTTTTGCTGAAAATGCCGAGAGTGGTTATTGATCAGAAAGCAAAGTTTGAGTCTGATGAACTGTTTAGGAAACTAAGCCGAGAAAGTGAGGTAATTTTTAATTCTTGCCTATCTATCAACAATATTATTATATTTCTGCCTAGTCTGCGTAATGAAGAAACCACGTGCTCTCTAACTGCCAGATTTATGGAGTTTGATAAAGATGAATTTTTACTTCTGTTTGCTTATATCAATATGAATGTTATGTGTTATATCAATCTAAAAGATTGTTTTCTGTGCTGCATTCGATTAGATTTTTGTCTTAGCTGATATTTAAAAATTTTCACTCCTCTTGTTAAAAACAAATAAACTACGACAGGAAATAGTGGAATAAAAATAGCTAAGCTGATTGAAGAGGCAGAGTATAAACGTGCCGTTTTTTTAGCACATTTCGGAAGTGATACTGAAAAAAAAAAAATTTTAATCGAGGGAAATGACTTATTAATTAATATAATTTTGAGGTTAAAAGCTTATTTAAAGAAATATTAATTAATTAGTTAAATAAGTAATAATATCTACAATTGTTATATTTATTTAAATACTACTGTTTATTAAAATGAAAATAAATGTTAAATAAGTAAAATAAATAAGACACCAAATATAATTAGGGAAGCACTGCTTATCATGATACTGGTTTTAGTTCTATTTCTGACGTTTTTAAGGTAATCAAGAAAAATTAATGAAATATTTAATGGTTCCCGCTAAGGAAAATAATTAAAAAAATATCTACTTGAATAGAAGCCCTATCAACAAATTATTCATTTTTTAAAATTTTGATGACATCTTTACATGTAATAATGATTAAACACTGTTATGTAAAATCTAAATGTTCGTGTTACTGAACATACTTTGCTTTTATTTGGATTAATTAATTTGATTAATTGTTATTTCATATATTTTTCTTAATGTGTTATATTTTTAACTTATCATATTAATAATTAATAATGAATTAACTTTTAATTTACGACAGGTTAATTCTTTACTGTATTCTGTCCTCTCAGTTCGACTAGTATGCATTTAATAATTACTCAAGGAATCATAGTCACTCATTTATACTCTCATTAGCAACTGAGAAAACTTCTATAGAATTAATGCATTTTGCAAAGGTAACCCTTATGGTGTATCATTTGATCTCGTAATTTTGCTGAATCCTACAGTACAGAGCAATTTGGACGCTTGCGGTTTTCTGGCATTTATCCTACCAGATTTTAATTTATAGATGATATGTTATAGATTAATTTATAGATAATATGTTAGAGGCGGTATACGGGCACTTCCTCTAACATACCACCCGTATACCATCAAAGCACACTCCTTTTATGAGCAAGTAAAAGTGTGGTTTAAAGAGGTAAAGATTATTTTACAAATGCTATCTGTAATTTTATGAGTTACAGATAGCATTTGCAGTTAAAATTTTTTAGTTTATATTTTATTCTACGCTTTAAAAGTATAAACTGAAGTTTCATTTATTTAGTTTTTAACCCAAAGAGGGGTTAGCAAGAAGCCTATTAGTCTCGGAAAAAATCTGGGCGTTTTGCGTTGAATCACTAAAAGCATTAAATAACTTTTCAGATTGTTACCACCAAGTATTATCGCCCTGTGTTATAAATAATGAAGAATCTGCATGAATATATGCGTTTTTCGCATTGGGGAAAAACAACCGTACCTAGAGCCATTCAATTCTGAATAATGTAGTCCTCAATCCGAACACTGCCACATAAAATCACGAATTTTGAATTTCGAATTTGTTTTACTATCTGTTTCATATTTTGGAAAACTTAAACGAATTTTGATTAAAACACTCATCGATTTCAAAGCGAGCATAGTGTACGAAGGAAAAAACACACATTTTTATCTCCAGGGCGCGAAACTGTCTTCTGAAATTTTAAAGATATGTTGTTTTTAAATGATTTTATCCCAAAGAAGCATTAGCTCAAATGCTCTTAAAATGTGTATTTATGCGTAAAAAAAAAAAAAAAAAAAAAAAAAAAAAAAAAAAAAAAAAAAACTTTTTGGGCGTAACATAAAATTTGAAAGTTTCCAGAATTTTTTAAAAATTACTTATTTTAATTATTCATTATTTGCTTATTTATTTTTAAAAAAGAGAAGATGAGGTATTTAAAACCTTATTTTTAGTAGTATACTGTTTGCACTTATATTTTCACATAATACTTCTGCTGTTAAACTTTCAATGATTGCGAGATTAAACAATTCTTTTTTCCCATAGACGCGTGATATCTGACAGTTCTACATTTATAATACGAACTTTGTTCGTTTTCGCCCATTACAATGCGTACCTGGAATGCGAGCTGAGCTCTTTCATGTCCATCAAACGATTAAAAATAGAATATAGGCTTTAATAGTGAACAAAAATTAGTAATTCTAAATGCGAGGAAAATATTTTACAATTACAATCTACATTTTTAGTTGTAGTAAGCGAAACTGCTATTTTTGTTCTATGTTTCAAAGAATTCAATGAACTTTCTTCATAAATCGAAGCATAAGATGTTTAAAATCCTGAGTTTTGTTTAGCATTAATGTTTTCACATAACATTTTTGCTTTGAATAAATGAATAAAAAATATAATATAAAAGAAAAATTTAGAAAATTAAATAGCATACTAAAATTTTAAGTTCACTTCTAATACCCTGAAGAGTTTTCCATTAAAGTTCCGAATACGTTTTTTTTATTTAAAATTATAAAAATCATAAATTAAAAAAATTGCAATCTGATATTCATCCGTTGATTCCAATTTAATGCTTAAAATTATTCTAAGCTAAACGATACACAGCAAATATTTCCCTCAAATGGCAATGCTTTTTATTTTGCTAAGCAATAAATCCGCTCACTGAATGTAATAACCACTTCGATGGAGATTTCCTTCAAAGTGTTTATTATTACTGAGAACGAGAATGATATTTAATTAACTTTCAATACCATTTGCATGTCGTCTTATTTTCCATTAAAACTGTATCGTCTTATAATTTCATAATAAATTACTTTTAATTATTATATTGTGCTACATTTTTTAAATATATATTTAAGCTTAAAACTATGACTTTCTTGATATAATTTACGTTTTATTATTTCTTATATTTAAAGATAATTTTCGTCATTAATATTCTATTGATTACGTATTGATATATTTTTTTAGATGAATTATTTAAAAATAAATTTTCATTAGCTCTCGACAGCTTTTTGAGTATTTTAGGTGTATTATTTTTAAATAAAATCTTCGTTAGTTCTTGACAGCTTTTTATTATGAGTACTTTTCTGTGTAATTTTTGGGCAATTATTTTAATTCGAAAAAAAAAAAAAAAAAGTTAATTTAATACGCTTTTGAGCCGCCCTTATTTTAGGCTTTAAATTAATTTTTTTCATTTTCGAAAAAATAACTAACTTTTATTGTTTAGGATGATGCATATGATTGTAATTACTTTGGTGCATATGATTGTAATTAGTTCATTTGGCCTTTTCAGGTTTTTAAGCATTTTGTCTTTTCAGGTTTTTTTGCCATATTTATTTTGCTTATTATGTTTTTAATTTTTGTTTCTACTTTTGTCTATTATAGTCCAGGGATTGTGAATGCATGTAGGGAAAAGGTCTGAACATTTGAGAGCCATTAAATGTTGTTTTGAAGTGAAGATTTAATTCTTATATAGCGGTTTTGTGTCTCAAATGATTCAGAGGATCGAAACATGCATTCGGAACTCATTAATCAACTTAGTTTAAGGCTTCAAAACACTTCTCCCTTGACAAGTTATGCTTGAAGCGTTCAACAGAGATATTAATACATAATTTTTTTATTGTTCTATTTTGTATTATTTTCATTTTAGTGCACGTATTTGAAGTTTCTTTTAATTTTACATGTACTCCTTTTGGGTTACTTCTTTCTTGGAGAAAGAATTGGTTAAGGCCTTCATAAAGAAGAAATTGTAATAAATCATTTTAGTTCCAATTTTTCCTTTTATTAATTTTAATGTATTTTCTTATAGACTTAATACAATATATTTTATTAATAAACTATTTACCATTTTATAATTGTGTATTTCATAAGAAGGCTAAGGTAATGAATGTAAAGAGTTGTTGTAGACTTTTCTTTACAAAAATTTTTATTACACTGGAATCCCGCTATAGCAAACTTTTAAGTTTCGAAAGTATGGTTCGTTATATAGGATGGTTCGCTGCATCCGCTGTGATAACAAAAAGTACATCATCTTTTAAAATAATGTAAAAACTTATCAAAGAGTCGCAAGGAAGAAATAATTACCATTGTCACATCTCCCAAAGTGATTACTAACTAATTTTTAATTAGTTAACTAATTAAAAATCCTAGTAAGTTTATTAATTACAATTATTATTATTATTATTATGTGAACTTACTAAATTTGTTTTCCATTGTTTTTTAGTTTCATTGTACGATAGTACTTTTACACGATAAATTACTTCGCGCAGAAGTCATGGTTTAGACTCTTTCCACCAAATACACATCTCCATTTAAAATATATGCAATACCCGCCGCCTATTAAAATCATTCCTGTTCGAAACATATTTGACATTATTATGCGGCTGAGTTTAATGGACGGTGAGATTCGTGTACCGCAGATTGTGATATCAGTTTTAATTTATGTAGTGAAGAATTAGCTAACAAATAATTTAATAATTAATACTGAAATAATAATTAAATTTAATGCTAAAATGAAATTATTTACGCAGTTTTAAAATTAATTAAAAAATTTTTTATAAAAATATTTTTGTTATTATGTTCTTGATAAAATTTTGTTTTTTAAGAACAATTGTTCTGTCAGTGTTTGTTTTGTATTGTTCATTAACAGGTTTCCAATTAAGTGCTGATGGTATCTTTTTTGATCAGCACTTTTCAGTTCAAAAGTTTTCTTGGGATTATTTAATGCTTTCTTTGCCTCGGCTAATGTTGGCATGGAGTTACTTTTTTCTGCATCACTCTTGCAGTCAGTTTCTGTAGTAATTTTATTACTTTCTATAATACTGTAGTCAGTTTTTACTGTGTCGATATTGTCGTCAATTGACAC